AATGCTTTCCTTAATTATTTAAGAAAATTCCCTGAAATTTCTGTGAAATATGTTCCATCATCATTATCACCTACCTAGCTTAATGTGTAATATGACTTTGCTGAAAGCCATGTTTTTATTAAAAAAGGAAAAAAACTTAAAAACCACCCCTGAGGTATCTTACAAATATTTGAACCTCCACTCTATTTCCTGAAGGACTCTAACATCCCTTATCGTGTGATGTCACTGGACACATAGTACCCTTCTGTTAGTCGTCCATCATCTTCTGTTTTCATGTGATATAACATGCTTGTTATTTGGTTAGTCAAAGATAAATTTCTCACCAAAAACAAATGTCTCAGCAAAAACAATCAGGTGAGTAGAGGAATCCAGCTCTAGAACCTGTGTTGTGTGCTCTGCAATCAAGTGGAAGAGGAGAATAACCACCTTTTTCTGCACTGCTCTGTCTTATGCAATCTGGAGCCATTTCTTGTCTCTTTGGCAGCTCCACTGGGCAATGCTAGCAACTGTGTGTGATCTTTTGTGGTGTTGGGAGCTTTAGGGACAGTCCAAGATCACAAAGAGTGTTTGATCTTTCATCCCAGCTGCGGTATTAAGTACTATTTGGGCCGAAAGGAATAACAAAATATTCCAAAACAAACATAGTGAATGGATCAACTATTTCCTATACATTTGGGAAGCTAATATCCTGGAATGCTGCTGCGAAAGGAATTCAACCAAGGACTTTAGGAGCCCAGCTGCTGGCTGGGGAGATCTAACTTTCTTTGTACTCTTGGTTTTGGGCCTTAGGAAAGGCCCTTTGTAATTTGTATGCTGTTTCTTCATCAATAGAAGTTACCTTAACTTTTTTCAAAAAAAAAAAAAAAAAAAAGAACTTTACCTGGAAAACTTTTGCACAAACCCAGTTCACCTAATGTAGCAATATTAATTTGAATTAGACCTTTTACTTCATCAACGTCTCTGAAACACCAATGAACAGCATACTAAAGATAACAGTTCCTAAGAAAATCACACAAAAACAAATAAATGAAATTAAAATGAAAAGAAAGGACCGATTGAGGAAAAAACTTTTGATTTTGTAGAGATGAAAATTTAATCTATACAGCCATTGTTAAATGAAGTACCGATGTAACAATGAACAGAAACCTGATCAGGAAGATAAAATTAAAGATAAGAAAGAAAAAATAGCTGCATAGGATCTAAAGTGGAACATAAAGAAGCAGGGAAACTGATCTTAGAACACCAATTAGCAAATACAGAAATGTAACAAAAATCCATTTCGGAGATTGAAATGAATGAATTTCCACAGCAAAGCAAACAAAAGATAAGAAAAAAAATCATGAAAGGGGAAAGGAACAAGGAAAAGTCAGTCAATAACTTTTTTATTTTTTGTTGCAGAAAAAGTGGGATAAAAAGAAAAGGAAACAACTTACAAAGTCTCAATTTCTGAAATGCCAGAACGTTCAGTGAAACAAAACAACAGTTTTTTAATTTTCTTTCTATTGATTTTCCAACTGTGAAATTTACTTGGTGTTTGTCCTCGAGTGCAACCTCAGGCAATAGAGTTTCTGAGTGAGAGGAAAGTCCGAAAGTGATGGGAGTAAAGAGTGTGGCAAAGTGATTACCAGGAGGTGGGGAGGGTGTAGTGTAAGAGCTCCACTGATGCTGGAATATGACAAGTATATCTCCACAGGAGGCACCTGAACAATTGGGAATCAATGTTACCTTCTCCTTTTCTACATCATGTTGTTGGCCTTCTTCCCTGTTTCCTCTGACATTACCTGTCATTACCAGAAATGCAGGGGAGCCAGGCCACCCTTCAAGCAAACCTTCAGTTGCATATTCAACAAGCTTACACCTGATGCTGGAATATGACAATATATCTCCACAGGAGGCACCTGAACAACCGGTAATCAGTGTTGGTACTTCCCCTTTTCTGTCATGTTGTTGATCTTCCCTGTTTCTTTCAACATTACCGGTCAGTAACAGAAAGATGATGGGGGGGGNGGGGGGGGGGGGAGGACTAGGCCACCTTTCAGTTGCATAATCAACAAGCTAACACCTCTCTCAAACCAGAATTTCCAAAATCCAGAACCCCGCCTCCCTTTAAAGGCTTTGAAAGCCTAGAAAGAATGACGCAGGCTTTACAGTTTTATATCCCAAAGGAACAATTGGAACCCAGGGGGCCCATCGCTGAGTTGCACCTTTGACACCATTGATGGCGTCAACAACTGTACCTGGTCCAAGGACAACAAGAGCAGAACAGAGGCTTCAAACTCAAGCCACTGAGCTCTAAGTGTCATAACTCCATTTTTGCAGTGAAACTCCATTTTCTCTCTCTCTCTCTCTCTCTATATTCTCCATCATTGACTAAATGTAGAAGGGGAGGAAAGATGAACAGTGAGCTTTTCTGACAGGGGTATAATTGAATTTGAGTTGATTCCATCAGAGATAATGGCTTGAAACTCTGAGAAGGGTACTTTTAGTCCTTTAAGATAACATATGGGTGGTTTAAGTGTTTGTCAGATGCCTCAGGGGAAGTTTAATTGGTGAGACTTCCAACTAGGCTTTCTCCACTACATTTCTGGTTTCATCTCTCCCCATCTTATCAACCTTCAATCTCAACATCCCCATCTTCACTGAAGGTCATATTATAGATGTTTTATTTCTTTGATGTCCAAAATTCCACTTTGTGAAGTATGCCCAATGTTGCATCTGTCCCATTCTTCGTCATTTTTAATGGTATGTCTTGCTTTTGAAATACTCTTGAAGGATATTGCTTGTCTCTAATTTTCTAGGTGACATTCTGTTTGACCCCTCTTTGTTAATAAATAATTTTTTTGATAAATTTGTTAATAGATAATTAAACGAGTACATAGAGAATTGTTTGAATAATATGACTACTTCTGTATTTCTATTCCTATCTTTTCTAAAATTGTAACCCATTTTTTGTTTCAATATTGTTTTGAACTTTCTACTTTCTAGTGCTTTTATGTGTTTCTATCCCCTGTATTTTTGTTCTATCCGGTTTAATCAATCAAAGAAACCATCAAACCTCCTTTGATATATGCCTAATCAATTCACCCTTAACCAATGCAAATGATATAAGTTCAATTGCCATGATTGATGTAGAGCTATAGATATCATCTATAAAAAAGGCCATTATCCAATGTTGGTCCCAGCTATTTGGAGTCTTGGGAGTAGACTGGATACAGCCCCAAGTGCTCTTACTAGGGATATGCCTTCAAGTCAATAAAGATTTTGGAAGGGCCATCTCTATGAAGTCAAGCAAATACCTTTCTGTTTTGTCTTGATCATTGTTCAATCACTCTCCTAGATTTTTATGGTGTTCTTTGCATAATCTTGATTCCTCTATTGTGGGAAAAGTAGCTCTATATCTACTCTGGATCTCTATGAGAAAATCAGGGATTCCAGATTTGGATTTCAGCGAGCTTTGAAATGATTTATAACAAACATCATTTTTTTTTGTCTCCACTTTTGGTGAAGGGTTCTAGTGGAAAGGCACCTCCATATTTTTTATATCAATATAGTTAATTGTAATTTACTTTCTACTTCCCGACTATAGAGTACACACCTAATTACCATCCTATACAATAAAAAAACTATCCAAAGAGACTGACAAGCAGAGTTTCCCATTCTTGGAGATCTGGTGTTTATCCACACCTCCATCCTCTGGGTGTTCTACTTGCCCTCTAAAGAGAACATTATGGAAAGGTCTCACCAAAAGTTCCATTCATAACATTTCTTCCACCATTATAATCTGCCTCAGATGGGTCTGCTATTGCTTCTTCTAGGCAACATGACAATGTGGTACATTTTTCCAGTTCTTTATTAAGTGATTGCTTTTTAAATCATTGGTACCACACCACACGATGCTTTCCCTACTCTCCTTTTCAAAACAATGGCTAGCCAGTATCCTTGGAGCTAAAGATGATAGGACCTTGGACATAAATTACACAGATCCACCAAGCTATTAATCTTCCTGAAATCTCCCCTTTCCCCATTGCCCACCAAAAAGCTAATTTTAGCAACAAATTCCTGTGGAATTTCATGATTCTGTTCCATGCAGATATACGACAAGTAGATAGATTTTGGAGTCTCAATCAAATTGAGCCATTCTGTACTTGCAATTAACCGTCCTTCCCTCCATGGAGCTCCTTCCTCACTAAGTTCTCATATCTATACTGGCACATGAATTAATTTTTGGCCTTGCTTGTTGCTTTCCCCTTACCTTTTCTGTTTATATGCAAATTCAATAGGTTAACATTATTATTTGAATGTTTTATCATGTAGTAGAGAACAAAAGTTCAGGAGTCGGTATAGGTTTCTATCACCTGGTTGAAAAATAAATATTTGACTTGTGTTTTTGTATACACATTTCTTAGGAAGCAAAAAGAGACTGGTGCAAGTATAGTTACTGGGACTCGATATGTTGGAGGTGGTGGTGTGCATGGGTGGACCCTTATGCGCAAATTGACAAGTAGAGGAGCCAATGTACTTGCCCAAACACTTCTATGGCCTGGCGTGTCAGATTTGACTGGATCTTTCCGGTAAATCAGTTTCAGTATAAGCAGGTCCTGCTCAAGGCCTAGGATTGAAAAACTAACATTTCTCGGTTGTCTTGAAGGCTTTATCGAAGATCTGTCCTTGAGGATGTCATTAACTCCTGTGTTAGCAAGGGATATGTCTTTCAGATGGAAATGATTGTCCGTGCTTCCAGAAAAGGGTACCATATTGAAGAGGTATGCTTTTAGTATCTTTTTAATGTGACTCTTTCAGGTTGAATATTGACAATGAATGATTCATCAGAGCTGTAGAGCTTTGGCTAGCCTAATGTTCAGCAACTTCATAAGTACTTTTCTGGTATATATTGAGAAGAGTTCAGTGTGGTAATTCAAAATTCCATGTAGTGATTTAACCTGGACATGTAGAATGATGAAAAGGTTAGGTAAACTTTAACGAAGTTGAGGCCTTGAAAAAAAGCCTCGCCTAGCCCTAGTTATTACATTCTACTTGCAATTAGGCCTGCGGTTACATTTCATATATAGATTTGCGTACTGATACATGTATTGGATGCCAAAACCAACATTAGGGGTAATGGCCCTTTGGCCCTACTTATATGTAGTTTGTCTAAATTAGATAGAAACGTTTTCTTGTTCTACAGAATAAACCAAATTTAACTTTACATTGCCTCTCTGTCTAGCCACATGTCCTAACGAGGTCTATATGGAGACCGGATCTGTTCCTCACAAAAGGGGCCTCACATGCGCCTCACAAGCACATCCTACCATGCATTGGGAATATCTCCCATACTTTTAAGTTATTATTCACGGGAGATGTTCCCAATGCACGGTGGATGTGCATGTGAGGCGCCCGAGTGAGGAGCAGATCCCGTCTCGTCTATATCACCATTTATAGAGGTTGCACTTGTATAATGCTACGGAAACAGCATCAAATATGGAAGTTCTAGACAGGCAGTTTTTTTTTTTTTTATTTTCTATTTTGATCCCTAAAAATTGGGCTATCGTTTAGATGTTTTTGCATGTGTTTTAATGTTGCATTTATCGTATATGAATTTAATTTTATTTTGACTATTTTTAGTGGTTCAAGTCTGTTTTTCTTCACATATAAAGCTTGGAGCTTGTGTATGTGCACAGGTACCCATTACTTTTGTTGATAGAGTTTATGGGAGTTCAAAGCTGGGAGGATCTGAAATAGTTGAATATCTGAAGGGCCTTGCATATCTACTGGTTACAACATAAAAAACTGAAGCGGATATTATTTTACTTATCCCTTTTTTTGTTCTTTACCAAAGTAAACAATGGGAGTCTCCCTAACCAATTTTTGAAACATTCTCCTCTACCAGGTTTCTTACTGCTTTTTGCCTAATGTTTTCATTTCTGGATTCAGTTTTATGTATTGCCTCCTCATTTAGGTAGCCAATGTGTACAATTTAATTGCATAATTCTGCGCTTGAACAAACATGGTTACACGTTAACACCAAATTTTTTCACAAAAGTTCACAAAAGTTTTTTTTTCTTATACACACTAAAGCAAAATGGGTACAAATGAATCACCCATTTTGCTTAGCGTGTATGTGCAAAGTATGTGTTTATGCGAACTGTAGGGGGTCAGGCGTTCCTTCCCCCTGTACTTTAGGTCGGGTGTGTTTAAAATTCCTAATGCAAAGTGATGACTGATGACTTGTATACTGTTCATGGGCGGGGCTTAGATTTGGCTTTTGTCAATTTCAATGGGCCTGGCTCGAAGCCCAAGCCCGACAGTATTAAGTCAGGCCTAAAGCCTGGCCCGTGAACATGTAAAAGTGATGACTAATGACTTGTATACCTGTTCATGGGCTGGGCTCGGGCTTGGTTTTTGGCAAAATTTCAATGGGCCAGGCCCGAAGCCCGAGCCCGAGTCCAACAGTGTAAAGTCAGGCCTAAAGCCCGGCCCGTGAATAGGTAAACAGTGATGAGCAATGGAATTGTCTGTCCCTCAGTCCCTTAATTAGATAAAGGGAAAATTCCCGATTAATTGGTTGAATTGTTTGATAAAGAGAAAAGGAAGAAAAAAAATGGAAGTGATGTTCATCGACAACTCGAACGAAGAATGGAAAAGGACAACTAAGGTGGACCTAGACGTAAGGAAGATCCAAAATGATCACAACAAATGGGTGCTTTGTCTGCATTCCATGTTGCATGGAGGAAAAGCCTCAATTGATGCAATAATGCACAGAGCTAAATCTTCTTGGAACATTACCTATCGTCTATCAATCAAGCTTCTAGGTAATGGTTTTTTCTTACTATCATTTGCCTGATTGCCTCCAAAGAAGACTATTACTGTATTGGGGAATGGCCCATTGTTTATCAACGGGAATCATCTGATCCTAGCAAAATGGAGAGTGGAAACAGTGCAAATATTGGGATCAAAAGTATCCCGAAATTATCCTAGAGGAAATTTGCACCATTATCAAATTTGATGAATACACTCTCACTTGATAGAGCTAATAGGTTCCCTCAAAGAAGTTATTAAGGAATCCTAGAGGCTGCGTTTGGAAACAGTGCAAATAAATGTGAATGCAAATATGTAGAGTGTAAAATGGTTCATATAAATTGTAAAATTGGGTTAGTTTTGTACTGACAAAACTACCTTCTTACAAAACAGACTTTTAGTTGTAATGAATGCAAACATGAATTCCAATAAAGTATATGTTTTTTTTTTTATCAAAAGCCCACTTGAATGCAAATTTACTTCTTTTTTATTTATGTACTTTTACATCTTATTATCGGTGTAAATATGCATTGGTCTGTCATTTGTTGCCAAACATAGGCAAAAGTGAACGGGAGTGCAAATTTACCTTGAACCGGGATTTACACTCCATTTGTATCGTTTCCAATCGCAGCAAGAATGTTTCAAGTAAAGGATCCAAGCGGCAACAATTCCATCTAAAGTCCAAATGATTGCAAAATCTCTAAGGGAGTGGAATAAAGTCCCTTTTGAAATCATTTTCATTCAAAAACAAAACATTATTGAGGAAATTCAAAATTGTCAACAATAAAGAGAGAAAAGACCAAAGAATTTAATCCTTCGAAATAAGGAGCCCTCCAAAAGATATAAAACAAAATTTTAGAAAAAGAGGAGCTTTTTTTGCCCAAAAGTCGAGGAATGATTAGATTAAATGTGGTGATAAGAAGGCTAAATTTTTACACAACTGCCTTAAGCCCTTAATTAAAAGAAACAAGAACCAGATAATAGGGTTCTTGTTTAGTCAATTTAGTAAAAAATGTTGACTAATGTATAGAAAGATTAAAAAGAGAAGGTACTATTTTTTTTTTTTTTTTAAGTCGCGAAGGTACTATTTCAAGCATAACAGATATAGATGAGGAAAATGCCGAACTAAAAAAAGAAGTTCAAGAATAAGAAATCATCGAGGCCCTAAATTACATGGGAGATTCTAAAGCATCGAGACCAGATGGTTTAAATGCATGATTTAAAAAAAATAAATAAATAAAAATACCAGGATACCAGAAAGGAAGTAGTTAGAGCCTTCTTTCATTCCGAGAAAATGACTCAAGATTTAAACAGAACCTTCCTGGCACTAATCCCTAAGGTTCATAATTTTGTATTTCCATATTAATATAGGCCAATTAACTTATGCAATATTATTTATAAAATAATTGCAAAAATTATTGTTGACACGAATAATGTCCTCATATCACATGAAAATTTTCATTCTATGAGAAGGAGAAAAGGAAAAATAGGGAATATTGCCTTCAAAACTGATATGGAGAAGGTTTACTATAAGCTAGAATTGGACTATTTAGAAGAAATCTTGAATAAATTTGGTTTCCACCCAAAATGGGTCAAATGGGTTATGGAGTGTGTGTGACTTCAATCTCTTATCAAGTTTTGATAAATGGATCTTGGGCACTCTCACTTTAAGCATATTAGAGGCATCAAACAATGGAATTCTCTCTTTGAAACTCTAACTCGACATATAACAAATCAAGCTACGGGAAGACTAGCCCCCTAGGATTCAAAACCTCCAAAAATGGACCAACAATTCCAATTTTACAATTGGCGGATGAATGCTTAATTTTTGCAAAAGCAAATCCTGAGGCTTATCACTTAGTCAAGGACATCCTGGAAGACTATACTAAACATTGGGAAAAAAGTCAAACTTTGAGAAATCTACTAGGGTTTCTAGCAGATAAAGGCAACTTTTTGTCTTGAATATCAATAAAAGATAATCATTTTATAAAATAACAAAAATAATATAACTTTTTTTGGAAAATATCAAAGAAAGGCAATGACATTGTTCATCGCCTTCCTCTGCCTCTATATTCATCCGAATACACAGGATTTGAAACCTCGGTGAAGGACGCATTAACGACGGTTCTTGCGGGAAATGGCATCATCCCACTTCTACTATACCTATTGGAGAACGACGGTTCTCGTAGGAAAAAAGGACGCATTAACGGCTCTTTATTCATTGTGTTCGGTGAAGGAGAACAAAGTCCGAGTTGGTCGATGCATTAGTAGAGGTTCTCGCGGGAAATGGCGCAGTCGCTGTGTTTCTGTACTGGATGCAAAAACCGCTTTGGTTGATGAAGGCAACATCCCCGTACTAGTAGAGATCGTGGAGGTAGGACATAGAGACAGAAAGAAGTCGCAACGACGAGAGACTAAGAGAGTGAGACAGAAAGAAATGGCGTTGTCGCTGTGTTTCCGTTCTCTTTTTTGTTTGGGTTTCTGAGTGCGAGAGACTAAGAGAGCAAAGAATGAAGGGCAGAGAAAGACAATGAATAATGTCATTGCCCTTGATATTTTTGAAAATAAAAAAGTTACTTTATTTTAGTTATTTTATAAAAATATTATCTTTTATTGATATTCAGGGCAAAAGGTTGCCCTTATCTTCTAGAAACCCAATCTACTATGATGTTCTCGAAAAATGTGCCAAGTAGGTTCCAAAGATTGCTCAAGATCTAATGAAAACAAAAGTATCCTAGAGCCCCCATCATAAATAGGAGAGCAATAAAACGAAACTTTCAGAAAAGTTCTAGAAAAATAAAAGGAAAACTTGAAGGATGGAAGAGAAAATCTTTGTCACTAGGTGGAAGAGTAACCCTCCTAAAATCAATAGTGGGTAATTTGGCCCAATGCCAATAAAACTTTTGGGGGGGGTGTTCTTTTTTTGGATTTTGAGAGGGGGGAAAGTTGGTCAATGGGATTTTGGTTCCCATTGACCAAGAATATCATGTTCGTTTTTCAGATTAATGTGGAGACTAGGGAAAGTTTATTTTCCTGGGTATCACTTACCTAGTTAAGTGATACCCATCTCCTGTGAGGAAAGTTTCCAACACTTAAATGAAACAAAAATGCCCCTTTTAATAATGGATTTATATGACTAAAATGGTTATTACCCTATTTACCTGAGAAATAAAAGAACATGGGTAAATGCATTTACTCGGGTAAGTGTTTCCCAGGAAAAACTTACCCAGGTAATTGCATTTACTCGGATAAGTAACTTACCGAAAAACGAAGAGACCTTGTTGTAGCCAAATGGGATCTGGTCTGTATGGATAAAACAAATGGGGGTTTAGGCCTAAGGAAACTAACCCATATGAATCAAACAAACATGATGAAGCTAGGGTGGAAAATTATTAAGGATGAAAATAACCTATGGGTTAAAGTGGTCAAGAAGAAATACCTAAAAGAGGAGGAATTCTTAAACCAGAAGACCCCAAACACAAGCTCATGGGCTTGAAAAAGAACCAACGCAAAAAAGAAAAAAAAAATCTAATTAAAGGCATCGGATGGAAAATCGAAAATGGATCAAACTACGGATTCTATAAAGATATGTGGGCAAACAAGAGACCTTTAAATGAGATAATAACCATCAAGAACTATAACCCCCCAAACTAGAAGAAATCTTACCTCAAGATGGTCCAACAAATCAAAGATATTCATCTCCCATTAAACAATGAAGGGGATGAGATCATATGGGGACCAAATACAAATGGAAAAAATCTCAATGAAATCTACCTACAATATTCTTTGAGACAATATCACGATTGAGCCTACCTTTGTGAGATTGATTCAAAGTTATAGGAAACTCGTTTGTCCAAAAAAAATCAAGGCTTTTCTTCGGCTTTTAATATTAAACAAAATCCCAACCAAGGAAAACCTAGCTCACAAGGGTCTAAATATAAATACCTAATGCTCCTTTTGCGGTCAAGAGGAGGATCAAGATCACATCTTGTGGCTTCATAGGTATGGAGACTAACGGAGCAAGACTTGGGTAACCAAATGGCTGACCCAAAATAGAATCTAATAGACTGGTGGACTGGAGCCATCGAGAATAAGGTTCACTGGATGGTTCAATGGTATTTTGAAAGAATTGCTTCTGTATTCTGGTTCTTGTGGGAAAATTTGTAGGAATGATAAAATCTAGAGGGCTCTATCGGAGACAAATTAAG